TTGTTCGAAAACTAAGTTGAATGAGAACTGCTTCTAATTTGGGGACAAACTGCTCCTTTTGCAGAAAATGCTCTGGCAGTTTATAGTACCTCACATGTAACTATGAGCCATGGAGGATGCAGGAAGAGCGAACACTGTCTGCCTTCTCTTTGTAGAGAGATATTGGCCACCTTAAGAAACACCCACTGGAGTTTTCACAAATAAAACATAGAAGAGAAACACCCAGGCGGACAGTACTTCCCTCTAGTATGAAAGGAATCAGTGTAGTCGATAGAGAAGGAAGCTGTGTATGAAACCCCAGAGCGTAGCACAGGGTTTCCACTCTGGGGTTCTGAGAATACTGAAGATGCAGGATCAGTAGTGAGACCGCAGGGGTGTGTCAGGAGGGGGCTGTCACACGCTTAATCCTCAGGCTGCAACGTTGTTTTCATAATGTGTGTATGTGTGTATAATCTTTCCCATCTAAATATATATTCTATAACGCATAGGTAAATAAGGCAAAATACCAATGGTTCCTTCCTTCAACTCTGATGTAGGTGAAGAACAATGAAAAGCAGAAGGGTAAGCTTAGAACGGGATGTGAATTACACAAGCCTCTTCTAGATCAGCGGGGTCCGATGTTTTCCTGACCCAGAGCATCTTTCTGCCCGGAATCATTTATTGGTGACAGAACGTGGCAGGACATCATGGATTGAGGTGAAGAGCATGTTCGCAGTTCTGTGTGTGTCCAGTTTGTGGGGCTAGGGACAGTCGGGGCAGCCCTGCCCCTCTAGCTGTGATGACCACCGCTTCTCAGCAGGACCTCCTGGTCAGTGGCAGGGGGAGGGGTTTGGCAATAGCTGAGACCCTGCCCGGACCTGGGGGGACTGGAGATGAATCAGCTGCAGACCAACCAGTGGGGAGCCCTCAGAGTTATTTAAACTGTCCTGACCATTGATTTAGGCCAGCCACTGTGGCTCCAATTAATTTCGTTCGTTTTGACAACACAAAAAACAGCTAAGAGCGGTCACGCTGCTGAGATACTGGTATTCTGATCCCATTCTTATTGTTTTCATTCCCAGGAAGCCTGCTGTGGTATGTTTCTTGGTCTTGCAGTGACATAGGTACAGCATTTCTGTTAGCTAGCAGTGGTAGAAAGCACTCCTGTTTCAGTGCCCGCTTCATTCATTGCTGAAGCTTGCATTGCGTGAGACGGTGCCGGTCAGAAGCTACACCAGCACCGTCTTCGTATTGGGTTTCTGAGACGGCTGTCAAAACCAGAAACCCCCCCTGAGCTTTGCTTGTGTTTCCTTTTCCTGTGTGTGTGAAGTTAATAAAAATAGGTTCTGTGCAGTATGGGTCCCTCCCATCCCCCAATTTTGCCCTGAGTTAAGAACATACCTTAAACAGATTACAAAAGGAATAGAAAGTTTCATCTTAATTTATTCTGAGAAGGTGGTGTGAAAAGAGAGGTTTGTTCCTAGTAATCTGCCTGTGGAAAACCTCCACAAATGGGTTCTTGGTTTTAAGTGTAAGTGCTATACGGACACTGCTGTTGTACACATTGCATAGATGCCTAAAAAGCCATGAAGAATGCCACATGCCATTTAACCTAAAAAGTATCCGACAGAGAACATACAAGAACACCAGAGGTCGAAGGGCAAATGTGAGGAGCGGGCGAGTAGACGACCAGGATGAGGCCAGCAGGTGTGAGCCACATGCCGCCAGTTCCCAGGAGGGAGGTGCTGTGCTCTGGAAATCTTTCCCAACGTACATTTTTCCCTGAAATACCGTCCAAGGACATGGCCAAGTGCCTCCTACTTCAGTGCCAATATTGGAATTTTATTCCTTTAGTTTATACTTTACTTATTTTCAAATGATTTGAGTGGCTACAATGAAACTGCAGGTAAGATTATGTTCAGATCTCATTCCTACTTCCGTGATATTTGATCTAATGGGCACATTTTGCTCACCTGTAAAATGGGGATCTAACTTAGACCGCCCCACGAGGACTGCTCTGGTGAGCTAACAGTTCTGGAAAACACATAATTGTGAAGCGCTACACCCGTGAAACACGATTGAAGGGCTAGAGACCTGTAGATTTTGATCAATGGTATGTGGAAAGTACGTCTCTGGGCTCTACAAAGAACAGAGGAGGAGTTGTAGTGACTCATCTATGTTCCCTGAGCACACTGGTGTCAGGCGTGGAATGGCCATTCTCCCAGGTTGTATGAGCATGCTGGTGCCAGCTGTGGAATGCCCTTTCTCCCAGGTTGCATGAGCACACTGGGTCTGGTGTGGCATGGCCATTCTCCCAGGTTGCATGAGCACATTGGTGCCAGCTGTGGACGCCCTTTCTCCCAGGTTGCATGAGCAAACTGGGTCCAGTGTGGAATAGGCTTGCTAAGGTCTTTGAGTGGCCTTCAGTGTCACTGAGGGTTCCCCCTGAAACTGCCGTGAATAAGAAATAAAAGAAACCAGAAACAGTTTGATTTTAAATCAAAAGTTATGATTTTATTTTTAATTTTAATAGATCAGAAAAAAATATTTCTTTCAATGTTGTGAAATAGACGCTTGAAAATAACAATTCCAACACTGCTGTGATTTGCTCTGTGAGGCTTATGTGGGTGGGCTTCCATCTGAACCCAGGCTCTGGGGTCCCTCCGAGGCTGCGTCTTCCAGTGGTTCCCAAGGTAGCAGCAAGCAGCTTCCAGCCTGAACTCCCAGGAGAGGCCGACCTGTCTGCAGCGAGACGCGTGGGCAGCATGATGAGGCTACTTCTGCAGCCTTCTTGACTTCTGTCCACTGGGAGAAAAGTCTCATGTGCCGCCAAACATTGGGAAAATATCAGTGTTTCAATACTGACATGAGTCAGGACCCCTCAACTCTGGCCTAAATGGGTTGCAAATATGGCTTGACTCTAATTATGGGACCAGTTGCTTCAGGAGAACTTTAGTACAACATAGTTTCGGGTTTAGGAGTTCCAGTGAAGTACATCTGATGCAAGACTCTCGCCTGCCCAACGTAAAATCAAAAGGCTGTCATACAAACCCCCCCAAACCCACCCATGGGTGTGCTCTCACTGTCTGTCTCTTTAGTGCTAGAACAACCTCTGTTTCACTTTTTAAAAAAAGTGTAATTCAAGAGGAAGGGCAGCCTAGGGATTAGTTTCCCCTCTTCTGTGAGCCTGAAATTTTCCAAGTGACTGAGGATGAGGAGAGTAACTCGAGGATTTGACAGGCTTGTGGCTAGGCTTCCACGCTCTGCACAGGTGTACCTAACTGGCCTTGTCAGCTATGGGGTCTGCCATATGGCTCGAAGATATTTATAATTGGAGCATCACAGCTGGCATTCAAGAAAATACTGTCACTGCACTGACACTTTTTCTGCTGGAGCACCAGCGGGTACCAGTATACAGAGGCTATTGGCTTATTGGACAACTGGGACCTAACACTTCATCCTGATTGTCGGCACAAACTAAGAGTATGGTTGCTTTATCAGCTCTCACTTTAATGTGGATGCATAAAGGCCACACCCTGTGGTGCATTCTAAGCAAAATCTCTTCCTGAAGTTAATGGGTCTGAGGCACAGAGAATCCGGTCTTATATGTAAATATAAAAGGGACAGAAGAACGACTTCAGAGACAATGACTCATAGCATGAACAAGGCTCTACTATCACCACCATTGATAGCAAAATATTTATTAACCAAAACAAAAAGACTGGACTACTGGAAAGTTCTGGGCTTTTGTCATGAAATTGTCACATAACTGCACTTTTCAGGAGGGAAACTTTTTCAAGGAAGTAAGTGTCTAAAAGAGACAGACATGGACCATGCACATGCAAGCCAACGCTCTGAACTCTGGGAGGCAAGTTTCCTCCACTCTCCTAACGGCTCTCTTGAATCAGCTCATGGCCAATCCAACAAGTGTGGGAAAGAATCATTAACCAAACTAGAAAAAAGCCCTCAGAAGGTGCTGCAGCTGACTTTTAGTTGTGTGACACATGCAGTCTCTCAGGAGAGGCTGTTCTATCAGAATAAAGAAGAGATAGTAACCTGAGCATGTTCTCTCCCAGGTGACTCAGCAGTTTGGGAATGAGGCCAGACTTCTGGAACATTCTACTCATTCTACTCCAGTGTAATTGACTCCAGGTGATTTGTAACTCTGATGTGACAGGTTTTATCTGATCATGAGGATAACACATCTGATTTTTTTAAAAAAACTCTGTGAGTCTCTTTCTTACAAGTGTTCTTCCATTCAATTTTACAAAAACCCCACTCAAATGAAGTTTCTGGCTCAGTCTAGAGCTAGATTAGGAGGGAGGTGAAGAAGTGAGGGGGACGAGATCAATCCTTTATTTCCCCTTAAGCAACATATAGGTATGTATTGTCTCCCTCCCTCCCCAACTTTTCTAGTGGAAGGATGGGAGTAAATGACCTGGAATAATCTCAATACATGATTTTAAGTTGGTTCTTTGGCCTGGCATTACATGAACTATAGTAGTTGCTCTTTTCTCATTAGCAAAACTAGAATGTTCAGATAAAATCTCCTGCTCTGTGAATACAGCATTTCTCACTAGAATGATTTCATTGCAAACTCATAGACTTGGGTTGATGCTCAGACCTAGCGTATCAGATTGCATGCACTTAAATGTGAAATGAAGGATTTGGGTTTTTTTTTTCCCAATCCAGGAATGTTTTCACCATACTCAAATTGGAATGCAGTGGGAAAATCTTCAATAGAAAAATAATCTACTGCATCATAGTGGGGCAGCTATAAAAACTTGCCTGCCCAAGTTTTTCTGGAATGTTAACTGACAGCAGGATTATCTGCGTGCTAGCCAGGTCTCCGGTAGCTGTCGGATTTGCCGTGGGCTAGTGGTCCGGCCTCATATTTTGATATAATTAAGCAGTGAAGCTGAGACATTGAAAACAGTGTACTGAACCTGGAATATCAGAATTTTGGTTTTTTCTATGTGTGGTTTTTTCCTCAAGTGATAAACATTGGAAATGCCCTTCGATATATTTAGCTAATTTAAAAACCGTTTATTAAACATTCAACCTGTAAACAAAAATTCTAAATTATCTCACAAGTGCACACAAGTATGAACCTGCATCAAAATGAAAGTGCTTTGGAAGCATCATTTCGAGTCTACTTAAAGTCCAGGCCCCTTCCCTCACTCTAACCTGCATTAAAGGATCAATGACAAATCAATGGATTGAATAATTAAATTAAATCAACCAGAGGAGCTCTGAGTGGTCCTTCAATTAAACTCAAGTCAGCTCCTATTTGGCCTTTTCCTTATTTTAATCATTCTGCTCATTTTCTCCTATAAGAAAAAAAAAAAGCCTATTGCACAGCATCACGTATTTTCAAAGCTCAAAGTAACATCATTTGCATCCTCAGATCCACTAGTTGTCATAGCAGGACCCACTTTTTCAGCTCATGTCAGTTTTGCCATAATAATAATAACAATAAAAATATTAATAATAATACATTCCTCCATCAATTGTTCCTCATCTATGAACCTACGTCACGACATCATAGACTGTTCACAATAATTTAACACAGATGTAGCAGCTCCCTCCCCACCCCCAGCCAGGCTATCAGTCATGACTTGGTCTGCATGGATTCTTTGTTCATTGTTCAAACCATTCACACAGAATGGAATAAAACTTTATTCTTTTAAATTCCACACATAGACGAGATGCTGAGAAAGCCCTTGTCATCTCTGACAGAGAAGCAGAGCGGCTCTGTTTCATGAATGACAGCACAATTAAAGCTAAAATAATATAAAAATAATTTGAAAAATCCCTTTTTACTGTACACTCTCAAATAAAGCAAGAAAGATAAACAACAGTTTCTTTTTCTGCTAGCCAGAAAATGGGTTTCTATCCACTTGGGCTTTGAAGTTGGGTTCACCCCACGTGGGTGTGCATACGTGTGTGGATCCCCCACATCGGTGTGCATACGTGTGTGGTTCTGCGTATAGAATCTATGTAGGTGGTAGGCCCTAAGCTTATCGTCTAGCTTGTCTAATCATTAAGCTACGTAACCAATTAGAATACTATTATATCACATTGAACAACTTTATGTAACTGCTTCTTTGAAATACTAGGAATGTTTACACATTTATTTGGCTTGTAAAGGACTGAAATATTACAGGTAATATTATATTATCTAGCTTTCTTTTTATTTCTTTTAAGAATATGGCTCTTAATATGTTGATTTTTCTGAGTTCCAGAGTGAAAGTCCCTTTTAAAAAATTTCTGAAGTCATTTGAAGCAGGAAGAACATCTTCTGATTTGGCCAAAAATACGAGTATTTTATACCATTTAAAATTTGAAGGATAAGCCTAGAAGGGGCCTGTTGTTGTCAACTGTTCCAGCCAAACTTGCATGAGTGTTTGTTGAAGCATCTCCACTTGACCAGCAGAGGGCACTTTATACCCCCTGCACTGCTTAGGGAGCAAATGCAGAGGATGCAGAAGCACAGTGTTCACCCATTATCAGGAAAGGCCCTGCAGATTTCTTTTTGAAATTCACAAAAATATAGAAAATATGGACTGTACCACAGGGTTTCATTTGGAAAGTTATGAGAATGTGTGAAGTCCGGTAGGAGGGGCATACACATTGTCTGTCCATTGCCTTGATTTTCCTCTGACTTCTCTTCCCGCTGTCTGTTTTCCCTTTCCCAGCTCAAGAATGGTCTTGGGCTGAACCTTTTTACAGGTAGTTCAGAGCCCAATTTCAAGTCATTTGGCTGAGTTTCATCTTTTCTATTCTGTATTTACTCTTCTGCCCAAAAGCCTAGGGCAACGGGACCAAGGATAATGCTTCGTATCTCATTTAAGTGTAGAAATCACAGCTAAACTCTCAGAAATGCTCTGAGCTGGAGCTGCCCCTGGAGGAAGTGGGCTGCATTATTTCTATCCTCCCAGGAAGAACCTTGGAAAAATATTGTGCCCGTCTGGTTTTGGCAACCTCACTAGCCCAAGGCTGTGCTGTGAAGAGAAAAACACTAGTCTTTCTCTTAGTTGAAATTTTCTCATGGGGGCTACGACTACTAGCCGTTCTTAAAAAAGGCTTTAATTTTTGCAAAAGCATCATTGTTCCAGATACACACCCTGTGTTTCGTCCATTTTTATTTATTATGTTGGCTCCAGTTTAGTGTCGGAAAAAGGTTAGAAAGGATTGTATGCATATGTGCTCGCACAGTTTTTAAAGTAAACTTCTTTCGTCCTTAGAGAAATATAACACTTAGTAAATACATTTTTTTCAAATAGTGTTAATAGCTTTTGTTTGTCTCCTGTTTCTCTTTCTGCCTCTGGTTCACTTTTGTTCTCATTTGTCTGAGGGTCGACAGATAAAGAGGGCATGGGGTCTTCCAGCAGCAATCCTTTGAGATTGAGGTGCCCTCAGTGAGTCCTCACCCAAAAAGGATCATAAACTTACTGGGTTAAGTCAACCTGATCATTCCTATGCTGCCTTGGGCTTTGTGTTTGCTCATGTGTTGTGTTGTGTTTTAGCTGCACCATATGTGAGTCCTTGTGCCATTTTCTCTTGTCTATTATTTTTCTTGATGACCCTGAGCTATGGCTTCCCCCTCAGTCCCAACACTATTCAGTCTTCCTGATTTTCCTCATCTTGCCCATGTAGGCCTCAAAGAAGAAGTGGCAGAAGAGCACAAGGTAGCTGAGGTACATGAGTGAGGACCAGAAGATGTTCTGAAAGTGAGAGTAACACTGGTCATGCTGCATCCAGTAGTAGACCAGGTAGTTAACGACACAGCCTACCAGCATCTGCGTGATCTGGGACAAGGTGATGAACATGGCAAACTTCCGAGAGACTCGGAAACCAGCCGCTCGCAGGGCATAGTAAGAGTACATCAAGGCGTGCACGCTGAAGTTCATGGTCATGAACCAACCACCCCCGGCGACCATGTCCTTGTAGGAGTACCAGGAGTACAGGAGCACAGTGATGTGGTGGTACCAGTGCAGGAAGATCAGCTTCTGCTTCCTCAGAATAATGAATATTGTATCTCCTGAAAGACCGAAAGGGGAAGAACGTACATGAGCCCCTTGACCATGACATAACGATAACTGAAGTTTTTGCAAGAAGGTCGAGATCTTGAACCAGGACTTGAGAGTGAGAGGGACTCGGTTAGAATCCTGGACTGATATTTACTAGCTCTGTGCCCTTGGACAGCTTACTTACCCTCACCATTTTCCAGTTTCCTCCTCTGGAAAGTGAGGATAATAACTGTAGCCTGGAAGTGTCTGAGAGTTAAGTTAAATAGGATAATCAACATGCCCTCTTGGCACGTGGCAAGTGCTCAATAAATATTACTTTCAGAAAGATGTTTTACACAAAACCTTATTTTTGATCTGGAAGGGACGTCAGCAATCATGTTGCCCAATTTCTAACTCGACCATATTAGGAAGTATTACCTGGAAGAGTCAAGGGACTTCTAGATCACTGATCAATTGAGGGAAACACATTGGAATTCAAGTGCCCAGCAATGTTCTTAAACCTCTCTATATGAGGAAAACCATTTTTCTTTGATACACGACAAAAGGTATCCCTCAAAAACATATCTTTGTAAGCTCCCTATAAAGTGAAGCCCTGATAAATGGCAGTTAGAAAACTAAAATTTAAAGAAAAGGCAAAAACAGAAAAAGAGAACAAAAGTCATCTTCCACTATATTTGCTGAAGATGGCAACTAGAATATTTTATACCAATGAATCAAGTGATAAAACTGAGAATGACACCCATTTTGGTGGAATTAACTTTGAAAAAGCTTTCCAAGATCTATAAAAAATTTTACTAACAATATCCCTCTGAAGAAAGAGACCACTGTTCCTGAGGTAGGAAATTTACATTATAGAAGCTAGAATTATGCTCAGGTAGGTAGATGCTATATATCTGAAATGATTCTTTAAAAGTGTAGGGATTCTGAAAAATATACTGTAGAATACTTATGTAAAAATGGATGAAGAGCGAACACAGTAACAAATACACCCAATTCCCTTAACAAGTAGGAAAAAAGGGAAGAAACACTGGCATGTGGGACAGAAATGGTTTATGCAGGTCAACGTTTCATGTCTTTTCTATCTCTGTGGTTCTCAGATAGAGGAAAACCCCAAATCCTTCACCATCTTTGGTGAACTCAAACTTGACTTCTTTTTATATACCAGGGAGAAGTAGAAGGTCCCTCTTCTGAAATTTCTTTAAGCACAAAGGGAATTGGTACTTATCTTGACTTATCTGTCATACTTCATGGACACCCTAAAACATGTGGCACTAGGGAAGGTCAAAGAATGGTGGGCTTTGGAAAGATGTTAAGTTTCTGATGGCTGTGGTTACGATACAGGTGGTGCCCTATTCCGTTCAGCAGGAGCTGTTAATTTATTTCCCTACTGATTTATTAAACAGTATTACTTCCTATTTGTTTAGAACAGAAACGGAAAGCTGCCAATTGCTGCATTTCTGAACATATTATAAAAGTTTCTTAGAAGTCCTCTTTTCTCTGGTGGGACACCTGCCATATTATGCCTATAAATGTCAGACAGACTGATAATGATCGATGGTGACAGTAGCTCTCTCTTGAATACTTAGGGGACAAAATTATGTCAGGAGACCTGGGGTTTACTTCTCAGTGTTGAACTACGCTATTTCTGTGTGCCTGTCACATTCCACTATTCTGTGTACTCACTACTCTGTGCCTCCTTCCCTCTGTGGACTATAATGTAGGCACAGTAATTTCAGCTTATTTTTGTTCACAGTGGAAAGAAAGTAGAAGTCCAAGGAATTATATGTTAAAGACAAATTTGGTTATTGATAACTGAGAAGATTTTTTTTATGATTATCCAAGCATAAACTAAAATATATATCCCACACAATATCCAAACACATTGTAATAAAAGTCATTTGCCATAAAGTAATAAGCATTTCATCCTTTCTAATTCTTTAGATTTAACTTTAACTCTGTCATCGTTTTTAATTAAAACTTTATTGTCTGATGAATGATTTCAGTGTGAGGAGCATAGCAGGGGAATAAGACAGACCACGTTAGAGTGGGTTAACCTGGAATGGGAAGTGGAACCTACAATTCTGGAATCGAAAATTGCTTTGGTTGTTTTCCTGTCTGAGTGGGGGTCTCAGGCTCGATCTGAGACATACTAGGTGTTTCTGTTTATTATGGGGAGGTGGGTGTGAAGGACATGTCATGAGATCTTCAAAACAAAATTAATGTGAATTCACTTAAGAATATTTTTCGGGGCAGATATACAGGACGGTAGATAGAGGAATGAAGGTAAGTATCTTCCAATCTGGCTCCAGAGCCTCTCAGGAGTACCACTCCAGTGCCTTCTCAAGGTTACCGAACCCAAGAAGGCTGCTGACCCAAGAACAGTGGCTTCCCTTGAGTGAGGGGAAACTGGCGGGGCTCCAGAGGGGCTCCCTGAGACCTCCCATGATTCTTTCGATATTGCAGCTGAGATGCATCCGTCATGCCACTCTGGCAGTTATGAATTATTTTTCCTCTGGGGAAACCACATAATACGACATTTGATTTGTCATGAGACACTCATGCCAAGCCATGGTACTTACAGGTTTGTCAAAAACGAGAGTGACCTAGAAATGCACACTAAAGATTGGGATTGTGTATATGATGTCGGCCAACCAATCTTTCTTGGCCAAAGGTCTGGCTGGCATTGTGGAAAGGATTTTGGCCAAGTATAAGCAGCGGGACTTTTGACTCTTGAAATTTCAGCCATGTATCACATATTTTACCTACCCGTGGTTCGTGTTCTCTTTACTACGGTCTCTCTAACCTCTGGCTCAGCTATTTTCAGTTAAGAGCCTGCCTGCAGGCAGGGCATGGTGTTCTCATACCTGCATGTGCCTCCTGAACTATATCTTCTGCTCAAGTGCCTGTTGAGTGCAGGTCTCCGTGCAGCTATGGAGAAGTCGGTCAGCATTTGGAATCTCCAGGGCATGCATGGCTACCAAGGAATGGAGAGCCTGCTCTGTGTAGTTTGTCATAGATGGCTGCATCCCTCTTTGCAGAGTTAGCTGGAGTTTTGCTGAGTCAGAGTTTCAAAAACAATGATGAGCTCAACTGAGCAAGGACCTAGACTCAGAGCAGATGTTTCCAAGTTTTAACAAAACCAAATCTCAGCAGGTTTTAGTATAATTCAAACAGTAGGCACTCAAAGATTTTGGCACATAGAGCAGGTTGGTGGCTTTCTTCCCCTTACTTGTTCTAGTAGATTGTAGCTCTCTTATTCACTGCAATGAGCTCATTGTTTTCTGCTGAAACAGAAAGCCCATCTTGCTGTTAAGAGTTGAGGGAAGGGGGAATGGAGAGACAGTATGCAATGGGTAGAGTTTCAGTCGGGGAAGATGGAAAAGTGCTGGGGGTAGATGCTGGTGATGGTTGCACAACAATGCAAATGTTCTTCACACGCAGCCCTGTACACTTAGAAATGGAAAACTTTATGTTAGGTATCTTTTGCCACAATAAAAAAAAAGTTTAGTAGAAACTGCAGAATTGCAGGTTTTGGGGGGAAATAGTCTTAGTATTGAACACGGAAGCACTGTTCTTCTTTTACACAGGACCTGTTCTTTCTGGCGCTCGTGAGGGAGTCCAGCATCTTAGAGTACTGAAAAGCAGAACTACGGACCTAAAAATAAGAAAAGTTCTAAATAACCCAAATGGATACATCTTTTTTAACTAAATGGTAGTGACAAGGTTTTCGAAGAGTAAAAGACTGGGAAGGAACGAAACTTCCACAATGAACAGAAAGGCACCCAGGCAAACATGTTCCCTCCGTGAGGGCGAGGGGCTGGCTGTCTCTGAGACACCCAACTGGCCCTGATCTTTGGCTCTATTTTGATCCAGCAATTTACCTTGGGAAGGCCAATGTCAAAGGAGCTCCAGAATAATTGAAAGAAAATAAATCGTATTTTAAATTGAAAAAGGGTCCTCAGACCATGAAAAAGTCCTTATAAAGGATCTGAAACTCCATGAAGCATTTGTATCACTAAACTAGCCTCATTAAAGAACTGTGTCAAGATCAGGATTTTATTTTTTTCCAGCTCTTCAGCCCACTGCCAACACTCCAATCCCATATTTTACCTTGAGGGGATGGACTGATATTTAACCCAGAAACTACTACGGTGAGTGAGGCTTCTCTGGGAATAGGGATTATCAAGACAACGGCATAAGGGCTTGAGTACAGCTCTGTCTGGGCTCATGAAGGAAGATTCTGTGTTCAGTCATAATATGTGCATTGGGGCTGGAGGGAGCCACATGGTGGGCTACAGTAAATTAAGACAAGATGAGCAATTTAACATCCTCAGGATCAACTCTAACAAGACAGAGGATGATAGCACGGAGACCTCTGGGTGCTGCCCTGATAGCTCCTGTCTGGGAACCCCAACTCTGCCCACCATCCTAGAACCTTGATTTCAATCTGGACTGGAAGCCTCGACAGAGAGCACAGCTCTAATAAGGCCTTTGAAGGAAAATGACCACTATGGATAGGTTGGGGTGGCTCTTCAATACATTATTCCTTCAAAAGATGGGAGGGGCTATTTTTATTCTCAAGTCCCTCAGACACAGCTGGATAAAACTCAGAACACAGATGAGCAGCCCTTGTAGGGAAAAGGCACTTCTAGAAGAAACACTGAGGTTGCTCCTCTGCAATTGGAGGCTTACGGGCCAGAAGCATGGCGGTGACATTTCTGATTTTCTAAAAAAAATCTGTGTTGAAGGTAGTGAGGTGGAAACCGTGAAAGTGCTCAGGGGGTTATGTGGGGGTCATGTGGTCCATGTATTCACTGCATTCAAGGATCCGTAGTCAGTTCTTCATCAAGAAAGATTGGGGGCGTTAATAGGGGTACTGATTACACACATCAATGTGTCTGGCATACATGAGAAGTTGGGGATATATTTCTCAACTTGAAAAGTTCTCGAACTTCAATAATGTATGAATTTATTTCCAAGAAAAACGTCACAAAACCCGAAGAGTGAAGAATACATGCTCACACTCTCAGACCAACTTCAGTTTTGAGACCAAGGGATCTGACTCAGAAACTCAGTGAGTCTAACTAAAAAAGCATCACTGTGAAAGAGCTGGCAAGACTATCTTTGATTTATAAATGAAAACACAAAATTAATATATTCTCATGGAGTTTTGAAATTTCTAAACATACATCTGCAGACTTTTAGGCATTGTCTGTAGCTCCAAGTTTGAAAAAGACTTCTCTGGCCTAAGATTCGGCACTAGTGGTCCCAATTCAAATATAAAAAATAGCCTCCTGGGGGCTGGTTCATAAAGTGTGTATTATAAATTTCTTTTTAGATAAAGTAGCTATTCCATTCAGCCCCTATTAAATGCCTGGCTCGTGGTAGGTGCTTAATATAAATTTCTTGAATGAATGAATCTATACTAACGCATTTCACTCTAAGACTGCTTATTTCAGATTGTGTAAGGGACCCATCTTTGCGCCCCTGTGCTTCTTAGGAAAGGTTTTCAGGAGAAGTTTTCTTCTGCTGGTCTTCCCTTGTCTTTGACCTGGGAAGGCAATGGTCAAACCAACAGTTCAAACCAACTGTCAGCTATTTGTAGGTGGCATGTGTGGGGCACCCAGTGGAAAGTGGATAGGTTGTTGGAGCACACATGGGAGAGACCTCACATCCTTTGTGAACAGACACAGGCCAGGAACCAGGGGCACCTGATAGAAAGACTGATGATAGCTTATATTGTAGGTGACTTACAATGAAACTGCAACCTCTAATCCCCTTTTTAGGGGCAACGGGAGAGGGAACACAATCTATAAATAAATATTTTGAACTGAATAATACAATTCTTAATTCCAGACAAAAAATTAAGAAACCCAGAGGATGGCTAGGTGCTCCCCAAGGATTTACACCAGTTTGTGGCACTGCTCATGCAGGAACTCAGAGCTTATCATCACCAGCAGATCCCTTTCTCTGGCAATAAAGATATTTTTCTGGGGAACTGGGCCCATGTCAAATCCTTGCCACTTAATTTTTCGCTGTTTCTGCTAACGTATATCACACTTACAGTCAAGTCCATTAAAGAATTGAAGGAAAAACCTTAGGAATCCACAAAAATAGCAAGTAATTTTGATTAATTTTTAGAAGATGAACTATATTTTTCCTCTCCAAGACCCATCTCTTTGATGATTAAAATCAAACAACAGCAGAAACTAACCCTTACCATTTGTTAATGAGAACAGAAGGATACCTTAATGGGACCCTCAACTTCCTAGTCTGAATCCTAATGCCAGAGGCGAAAGCAGGCTTCCACATGGGTTGGGAAAGCGCTGTGTTGCTAATTTCTCCCCATATTCTAATATTAGCTCAGCTGTTAATGGACCTGGAGAAAGGGCTGAGTATGTTTTATAAGCCCCTGGAAGTGTATTTTCAGTAGTGCTTGGAAATCCGCATGTTCTGTGTAAACTATTTTGCTATACACAATGTACAATTATTTAAAAGAAAGGAAGGAGGGGAGGGAGAAAAAGATAGTGGAAGTTAGTCAAGAACTCAAATTCATTAATTGTAACTTTGATGCAACCAACAAAATAGGACCTTCAAATTGCTTACTTCTTTGTTCATTTTTAAATAAATTTTGGGAGTGTGTAGCTACAAAGGGGGTAATGGAAGGAGAGAAGACACTTACCTAGTTCGGGTGCTTTGCTTAGCACAAAGGCGTAAGCCCAGAACTTGCTGATAGGTCCATTGTAAAAACTCTGGTCACAAACTGACTGCTTCAGGCCTTTGGTCATCAAAATGTACACCATATAAGCACCAGTTCGAAGAGCACCGAATATACTTCATATGAAAAGAGAAAAGAAGCAACGTTCAGGAGAACAATTCACCTCTGAATTAACCATACTTAGAAGACTCCCTGCCATTGGTGGGATAGACAAACCAGAATAATTTGCATTTACCCAGAAGCATCTTAAAATGTTTCGTAAACAAGAGTAATGCAACTTCTCAGCGCTTTATTCTGGAGACCAGACACAACGCCACTTATTCTTCACCAACGTTCCAAAAGGTTGTCATGGAAAACGGGAAGAGATCCAGGGCAGGATCTCGTGAAGAACGCTGGGGACCCTTTGTGGTTTAGCATGAGAACTATCCCTGGGCGATGGGATGGGGTTGGCTGGAAACCCGTGGCACTAGCTCCATTCTGTCCTGTGTTCAATCGTTCTCCAGTCCCGCGGCTCTATTCCCTGGATGTCTCTGCTTCTTTCTTTCAGCCAGCTCTTCTCTACATCTGGACTGGCCGTATCCATCTAAGCCTCCTCGGCCTTTCCTTGGACTCCTGCAGCAGCCTCTGAAGCACTGTCCTTGGTCACACCTTCCCACTCTCTAACCCATCTTTCTCACAGAAGCCAGAAGTCTCCTGCAAGGTTTAGCTCTATCACCGCCTCCTCCAGGAAGCTGTCCAGGCTCACACCTCTGAGCTCCCCATAACCCCATACAACACGGCTCGAACACTGTTCTTCAATGCCCTGTCATATGTTTGCCTCCACAAAGGCATGGGTGCTCAAAGATTGTTGAGAAAGTGAAAGACTGTTGAAAAATAAACTGACATATGGAATTTTTATCCAGGAACTGCTAAGAAGAGAGGTGAGCTCTGGAACGCTTTGAGCTCGATGATGTAACCTAAGTGTGAAAGGATGCAGCACTGGAAGGAGCAGCCATTATGAAGCCTTTAGGTACGTTCCCGAGGACGCAAACCACACACAGCCTGGACCAGCAGCTGGCCGAATGGGTGAGGAGATGTGCCAACCAATCATTTTTCTGGCAGCGTCTCCTTCTAGGGTCTTAAATTCAGAGATAAACTAGTGAAGAACTGTTGAAACCAGTAGCAGCCTCACCAGATTGGGAAATAGTAGCCTTCATTTCCCTTCAGAGGCACTAACTTTACTTAAAATGCCTTAGAGTTGCTCTGGAATAAGTCATTCGACTGGTTACTCCCTCTATAAACATACATCCACCAACTAGACCTAAGGTCTACTCTGTGGAGAACCAAGGCAATGAAGCTGAGCTCCTGGCAACTGGCTATCAAGTTGGGACTTTGTAAGTAGCTTCCCTAACGACATTAAATGGCATTACTCTTTCCAACGTGTAAAACGATCCTGTATAGGATTGTTGGTGTCATTTTACTGCTGTAGATCCTGCTTAATCCTTCAGTGGCTTCCCACTGCACTTAAGTCCTCACTGGACCTGCAAGGTTCTGAACGACCCCTCTCTCCACCATCTCCACCCTCACACCTCCTGCCATTCTCTTCCTGCTAACTGTGGGCCAATCATTCCAGCACTTTCTGATCCTTTCAGTTTTCTGCCTCAGGACCTTTGCATATGATATTCCCTCTTCTTGGCAAGCTTTACTCCCATGTTCACCCAAGGTTGCGCCTTCTCACTTTCTTATCTCAAGGAAATGTCCTCTCCTAACAGAATGACCTCAGCCCTTACAGTCAATAAACTGACCTAATTTGAGAGTGGGGAGTTGGATTTCATTGGTAAAGTCAGATAGTGGTGATTTTTCTGTCTTATCTGAACTGATTTTTTATGCTTTGTCTTTACCTCACCAGATCATGGCTAAATTTTAATACGAAAAATTGCGACCATCACCAAATTACAGTTCTTAGCATACTGTGCACTTTGATTTGCTGCTATGGAAGGTAATACGGAAATACAGATGTGGCATCTCCACTGAGCACATGTAGCAGGTACTATTGGTTGCCTATTCAAGAGCCAAGTCCCTTCCTTCTTCAACATACTAATATCTCGATTTTGTTCAGGTTCTCCAACCTCATGATTCCCCCAAGGAAAGTGACCTTCTCTTCATTGAGGAGTAAATCTTAATCACCTAAGCAAGTTTTAGTGACCCCATTTCCCTTACCAGTGATTTCTTAGGGTGGGCAGTGACCTAGTTCTAGCCAGTGTGACAAGAGGAGAGGGATGCTGGGGGCCTTTTGGGAGAGATTTCCTTGCTGTTTACCATGTATTGGCTGGAAGCACAGCAGCCATCTTGCAACCATGAGGGAGCTATCTTGATGACAAAGCTGACTCAGAAAGGAGTCAAAGTCATCCCTCAAATGTGACAGAGCTGCTGAATTAGTCCATCTTTCAGTGACCCTATCACAAGACCTCTTGTTTTTGAGATAAAGCTTCCTTATTGTATAAGCCATTTGGATTTTTGCTTCCTATTACTTGCAGCTCAAAGCATTCCAGCAGACACAACACACAAGATCTGAGTGTCAGTAGACTTTTGAACACTAGTTATATTTTGTGGCTATAAAACGCATCTATTCAAAAGACAGTCCTGGTGAACTACTTACTCCATCAGTTGTCTGCTTGTCATAGGCCAGTGGGAGAGACGTCAATGCCTTTTGTACAAGCCAAAAGCAAAGAAACACACAAACAACACACTTTCAATATGTATCCATCTGCTCATTAGCCCCAGAGGTATGATTTTTCTGAACCACCAGCACATTGGACACAAAATGCTTTTCTCCGCCGGCTCCAGCCCGCCACCCCAGGAAGCGGGCCCTGCCTCTACTGCATTTTGCTGCTAGACCGCATGCTTCATACAAGATCAGAGCAGACCTAAGGAAAGTACCTTTGGAACAGTGCCTTTCCTTTCATCGTCTCGGGCCTCAAAATCATGGTCTTTTATACCCAATTTCTTAAGTATTGGCAGAGCTTAATTTATTCTTCCAATTGTTACATATTTATTGGCAATGCTCTTAGATGCTGTGGTGACAAGGATCAATCAGCTAACTCTGGCAGGTGGTAGTGTTGGTCGTGGAAGACTTCAGAGGAAGTCGTATTTGAGGTTGGGACAAATAGGTATTCAAAGTTTGAGGGTTAGGGTACAAGGAGGTCATTTTGGAGCATCGCAGAGTGGACAGTTTGGATACTATGGTAACCCACAATATTGCTGACAGCAAGTGTATAGCACATATTATTGTCCCACATCTGGACGTAAGCCTCGCTCCCTAAGCTCCGAACAATAAGGCTGACTCAGAACAGAGGACAGTGCATTTTTCAGGGAAACCATCAGTGCCAGTCATTGGGCCTATGTGTCAAAGGCAAAGGCGCTTTGTTGGGATGTGACAATGCTCCTGCTGGGGAGCCGCTGGGAGGCTGCTTGGCCAGTGGGATGATTGTTATTTGTGGGCAGCCAGTAGCTCTGCTCTGGCATGTCTCAGCCACTGTACACTTTGATGTTATAATAAAAACCGTGTGGCTTTTTATAATAACTGGATGCAGGGCCCTTAGACTGTGATACTTTACCAAAATATACTTTAGGGAAGGAGACATTTTTTCTTCCCTAAGTTACATCATCTTGAGAGACAGTGTGATGCAAGACAGCAGTATGCAGCTTACGTTCTGCTGCCCCCAGGCCTTGCTTATACTCACGGCAGACATGGCTAATCAATCCTGACACTCTTTCTAGCCATGAGTGGACATAACATCAATGTTCTCAACCACCTGAAGCCACTCCAAAAGATGAGGGTTGCAAATTCTAATCACAGTGCTTTCACTTAGTAGTTTCATGACTGGGAAAATTACTTAACTCTAAGTCTTTCTTCATCTGAAATGATCATAATATCTAACTGGCAAATTAGTTCTATGAATTTTCTAAGACGATATAAGACAGGTATTTAGTTAGCATAGAGCCTTCTGATGTATTGGTGCTGAATAAACCAGTTTTTATTATATTATTATAATTTCATTATTATTTACTGTCATTATTGATGCTTTACTTGATCTGTCCTTTCATGTTGAAAATCACTTTTCGCTCTCTCATCTCATTTGTCAGCTAAGAGAGGTTAAGGTTAATTATCCCTAATGGAAAGTCAAGGAAAATGATATATAGAGAATTTGATTTGCACTAATAACTGTTCATGTAATTCAGTGTTTTGTTATTAAGTTTTTACTATTAAGTGTTTTATTTCATGAGCCAACTTTTCACAAAATAAGTGACAGCTAGCAAGTTTCCAACAGGATGTGAAATGAGCATTTTCCATAGAACGTCTTGAAGGAGAGACTGCTGGTACAGAGGAGCATCTGGTTCAGGTGAAATTGATCTTTTGATAAGATCATAAAGATTATTCTAAATCCAGGACCTCAAAGAGGCTGAGAGTCTGGTCACTGCATTTAATGAGGGCAGGTGACTACTATATCACATGCCTTTTCTCAACTGTAAGGTCACACTAGCATCCTTTTTTTTCTTTGGAAGAAATACACCACTTTTCTTGTCAAAGCCGAGTTTTGATTCTAACACTTCACGGAAGCGGGCAGAGCTCGGCGGAGGGAGCCATCGCTGTTTCCGCTCTCCTTCAGCCACGTTAGGAGCAATGCAGCAAGGAGATCTGGAGGAAAGCACAGCCCTGGTGAGCTGAGGTGCTTCTTCTCAAACGAATGTTCTGGATTCCTAGTTCAGAAGAAGCCTGTTTCTTCATTATCAGCCATTTGCCATGGCATGTACTCCAGAAGGTGCCGAGAATGCCCAGGGGACTGTTCACTGTGGTACTCTGTGGGCGGAGAAGGGGACCTTCTATTTTGTACTATGTACATTTCTGTATTGTTTGACTATTGAAAAGCAAGCATCTAATGATTGACAACCTTAAAAATACGTCTTTTTAAATAGGTGCCTAGCTATAATTGAAACACTGAATAAACCTTCACAACGGTACTAGCTTGCAAGGCTTTCTTTACTAGAGAACTTTTCAGTATGAAGCTGAGATACAACACTACTTCCTCACCAGCCTGTGGATGACACATGGGCTTTGGGATTGGTGGAGAAAGAC